TACTACTATATAGCCCTTTTTTATAGTACAGTGTGACAAACAAGCTCATAGTTCACCTGATGGTAAGTGGTTGTTGTGTCCCATAGACACCTACATGTGTCCTCGATTACGAATCAAAATGCACCCGTGGAATGCCTCATTTCCAGTAAAAAGGGTCTCCAATTCTTTACACTCACCATACGAAGCACGGCAGCATTCATTTTTTAAATCAACAAAACTCATATTTTGACTTATTTTAATATTTTTGGCGGGCAATTGCGTATCAATAGTTTATTATCACAAGGTGAAATCCGTCATCCAAAAAAAAGAGCAAAAAAAAGAGCGATCATATTTTTTGGTTTTAAAAGTTCACTCTCTTCCAAGAATGCACTTCTCGTCTTTAAAATGCTTTTGGGAGGGAAGCAGCTCAATTGAGGTCCGTAATGGGTACGCAGAATTTGATCGTGGCCCTGTTACTCCCTATGATGAAATTCGTGAAAACCCAACTGCCAACTGAGTATTGGTGTGCTATAAATTAAAACATATATATAATAAAACATTTTAAATTTAGAAAACTATGTTGCCACTTAATTCTTTATTATCTCATGCAAGAACAAAAGTTGCATTGCAATAACTAGTAAAGTTGAGATAATCCAAACGCCGCGGTGAAGAGTAGGTAATGAAAAAACAGAATTTCATAAATTAAATTAAATATTAAATAATAGAGTTTAAAAAAGTCATAAAACAAAAAATTTAGATGGAAATACAGTCAAGTGCTATTTATTTTGAAACAATTTACCATGTTTAAAAAACAGGTATGCTGCCATTTTAAGTTACGTAAAAATAAAGTTCATTATTTGTTAAATAACAGAATTTAGATAAATAATTATAATTATGTTTTAAACAATGTTCGCTTGTATAGCAGGAGCAAAATGAAACTCATCAGACCGTGCATGACATGTGACGTAAGGGATTTAATGCTTGAAAGCGATGTTAAGCGACTTGGATGTTACGTAATATGCTGGGCATATTGGTACAAAACCTGTTTAACACGTTCATTAGGCACATTAATTGGATCGTTCGTAATCTTTTGCTAAAATCATAGAAACTTAAATAAAAGTTTAAAATGTTACAGCCTATATACGTCCCACTGCTGGGCACAGGCCTCCCCTCATTTCTGAAAGGGTTTTAGTGCAAGGAATTGTCCGCCGCGCTGCCCCAATGCGTGTTGGCAAACTTCACATGTCTTCGAAATATTTTTTTCTTTTCCTCAGACATGGAGTTTCCTAACGATGTTTTCCTTCACCGCCGAGCGCGTGGTAAATCGGCACCTAAAATTGAAATTAACAATTTCATTGGTGTCGGCGGGGATCGAACCCGGGTTACTCGCGTTCTGTTATATTTACAGCGAGCGTTAACCATCTGAGCTACCATGGCTCTTATAAACCTAGATAGTTTAATTTAAATGACCGCTTTACATAGTTTACTGAGAATAAATTTTGTTTTTTAATTTTATCTACAAAAAGTTTTCTACATATTAGATAAATATTATAGGTGGTAGAACGATGCTGCAACTATAACATCATGGTTGTACGATAAATATTATAGGTGGTAGAACGATGTTGCAACTATAACATCATGGTTGTACGATAAATATTATAGGTGGTAGAACGATGCTGCAACTATAACATCATGGTTGTACGATAAATATTATAGGTGGTAGAACGATGCTGCAACTATAACATCATGGCTGTACGATAAATATTATAGGTGGTAGAACGATGCTGCAACTATAACATCATGGTTGTACGATAAATATTATAGGTGGTAGAACGATGCTGCAACTATAACATCATGGCTGTACGATAAATATTATAGGTGGTAGAACGATGCTGCAACTATAACATCATGGTTGTACGATAAATATTATAGGTGGTAGAACGATGTTGCAACTATAACATCATGGTTGTACGATAAATATTATAGGTGGTAGAACGATGTTGCAACTATAACATCATGGTTGTACGATAAATATTATAGGTGGTAGAACGATGTTGCAACTATAACATCATGGTTGTACGATAAATATTATAGGTGGTAGAACGATGTTGCAACTATAACATCATGGTTGTACGATAAATATTATAGGTGGTAGAACGATGTTGCAACTATAACATCATGGTTGTACGATAAATATTATAGGTGGTAGAACGATGTTGCAACTATAACATCATGGTTGTACGATAAATATTATAGGTGGTAGAACGATGTTGCAACTATAACATCATGGTTGTACGATAAATATTATAGGTGGTATAACGATGTTGCAACTATAACATCATGGTTGTACGATAAATATTATAGGTGGTATAACGATGTTGCAACTATAACATCATGGCTGTACGATAAATATTATAGGTGGTAGAACGATGCTGCAACTATAACATCATGGCTGTACGATAAATATTATAGGTGGTAGAACGATGTTGCAACTATAACATCATGGCTGTACGATAAATATTATAGGTGGTAGAACGATGTTGCAACTATAACATCATGGTTGTACGATAAATATTATAGGTGGTAGAACGATGCTGCAACTATAACATCATGGTTGTACGATAAATATTATAGGTGGTAGAACGATGTTGCAACTATAACATCATGGCTGTACGATAAATATTATAGGTGGTAGAACGATGTTGCAACTATAACATCATGGTTGTACGATAAATATTATAGGTGGTAGAACGATGTTGCAACTATAACATCATGGCTGTACGATAAATATTATAGGTGGTAGAACGATGTTGCAACTATAACATCATGGTTGTACGATAAATATTATAGGTGGTAGAACGATGCTGCAACTATAACATCATGGTTGTACGATAAATATTATAGGTGGTAGAACGATGTTGCAACTATAACATCATGGCTGTACGATAAATATTATAGGTGGTAGAACGATGCTGCAACTATAACATCATGGTTGTACGATAAATATTCCACACAGGATGGCAGCGGGAAATAGCAGCTTAACGTTACTGTGTTTCGTATAGTAATGTGCAGAGAACTGGAGACTTTTTTTGAAAACGAAGCAATCTATTCGATTGATCTGATCGAATCGAATCGAGTCCTCGGGGGTGACAACACATCTGCATTTTGATTTATAATTGAGGATAAATGTTGATGTTTATGGACTACAGCATCAATTTATCATAACGTGGACTGTGTGCTCGTTTGTTATTCTTTTTCTATAAAAATATTTAGTAAAATTTAATGCATATTGTGATACATACATATCATTCACAGACACTCAGTCTCCTTGCAAATTATATTCGATTACGTAGTAACTTAATTTAAAAGTTTTCTTTAATTTCGTAGAATTATGTATAGTATAATTAAATTAACTAATAATAGCTGTATTATACTTAAAACGTAATATTATTAAATAATTATTCATAAGTAATTTAATTTCGCAATTAAAAATAATACAAAACTTTGAGGGTTGGAACCTTTATGTTCTGAACTATGTCATAATCATCATCATTATAGCCAATCTCAGGTCTACTCTTTCAAATCTTGATTAAGATCTTTAAAAATTGCAGATAATTAATGCATTTCTAGATATGGATTTAATTTACTAATCCCCACTCTTACGGCACATTGTCGTGTTTTAATTTGAAGTCGATTAGCTTAGAAGAAAAATTAAAATCATTACCTGTTACCAACTAAAATAACGAGTTCAGGCTTCGGAAAGACTCCTTCAACAGAGCAAATAATATCCAAATATCCATCATTTAGTCGATCTTGAATCATATCGAATCTCGTTTCAGGCACTGAAAAAAGTAATATTATTAAGTTTATTTAATTGTATAAATAATGATATATACTTATTTTAGATAAAATTGTCATTGAGGGCCTTCCCAATGCCTGAACAAATTCATTAGCAATAACACTTAAAAGAGCATTTTTATTAACATGTCTCACGTACGTTATCGTAATATAATTATCGTGGGCATAAAATCCCAGTCCAACAGTTTCAGTCAGATCAAAGTTATAGGGCCCAAGTGTGTGCGCAATTACTTACAGGTGCACTCACTATTCCCTCTTTCATAGTTCGATGTGACGGTAATCCGACACGCTTGGAGACAAATCAGATGCAGGACCAGCGGCTCTATGTATAAACAAGAAACAAAGTCAACTTACTGACTCAGGAATACTACTGAGAATTTCTTGACAACAAAACTTAATAACCGGTTTTGAACGGACACGGGATTCGTAACCAGGACCACAAGTCAGCAGTCACGCTTGCCACCAATAGACCAACGAGGTAGCCAAAATGAAATAAATATATCATCATATGAAGATGTTTAAATGAAATTTGAAAAATTGTAATATTAAAAAAATTGGTCGTTTATTAATATGAAAGTTTAAATTTAAGTAAATTAATACCTGCAGTGGTTGCTGCTAAATTAGTGATGTAATGATGTTGCGTTCCTTATGGTAAGTAACGACAACCGAAGACCCTTTTCAATGGTATCTTAGTACTCTGGGTTGACATGATATTTCAAATCTCAATCGAGGATAAACGTACGACCCAGCATTCACTTATTGTTGTAATATTTTAAAGTATAAAGCCTTTTAGTCGATTAAACGCTATCATCGAATAAAATATATTTGGGTTAAAAGATATCTAAACTTAATCAAGAATATAGTGTTGCTTATGCAACTACTCTAATCGGAAATCAATGAAAACATATTATGAAAATAAGAAATATGTTTTAAGTATCGGGAAGCGTGGCAACTATGGTAAATCGCCAGGATCTAGCAGAAGATTAATTTAGCTCGTAAAAAATGTGGGACGAAATTTTAAAATTTGAAGATTCGTATTTTACTCACAAATATAGTATTTCCATAATAAATTGTATTTGGCCAGCTCCAATAAAAAAAATTCACAAAACTTTTTACGTTTCTTGTCGTAAAAGGAGGGCTTTTTAGATTGAAAGCGATTTCTTTCAGACAGCTTTACCTAAGAAAAGAGAAAATGTAACATAAAGATAAAAGTAAAGGGCTTTAACTAAATTTAGGAACGAGAGAAAAGACTAGGGACATCCATGCATTCTTTTAGTCTATTTATTAAAATATTAGCAAAAATTAATAATCTAATTAATTTTACTAAGCTGAGACGCTTGTCCTTTGTATGATTAGTGATTAGCAATAGCAGTCGAATGGCGAATGCCATCAGTTTTAATTTCATATTAGACTCAACTGCTCCAGTATATTGTACCGATTGATATTTTTAATTAATAATTGAAGTAATAATAATATCGTTATCAATTATTTAACCTTAGAATGAATACATCATACTTCAAATCTTTCATATAATACACTAAGTGCTTATTACCCCTATCCGTTTAAGTTTTACCCAAATATCACGAGGCTGGGTGCGCCAACGGTGGGTAAAGTTAAAGTTACACGAAGTAATTTCCGTTTTGTCACATCTGACATAGCGCATTGTTGCATTAATAAGCATTCCCATAATACAATCGCAAAAATTACAAACAACTGCATAACTACCTACCAAATCCTAATTTGTACTACAAATTTCCATGTTTCTTAATGTTGTATGTTGGTCAAATAAACGTTTCTCTCTATTTTTTCTTTTTTACTTCATGGGTCAACAATTCAGGCCAGTGAAGAAGAAATAAATATTAAATATCTTAAATCAGGCTCTACAAGTAATGGAGTTTTACTCGTCGATGAACAAGAATGCACCTCTTTACTTTTAGGAACTACTTGCGCTACTTTTACTTCGATTCGCGCGGCAGACGGTTTGGCGATCGCAGTATTGATTTTTTTAATAAAATTGAAATGATAAACTTACAGTCCACCTGATAGAAACTGGCTAAGTACGGCCGTCACCTACAAAGAACTACAAATAAAGATGGCTACATATTATGCGTAAAATGAAATGCATCACAGTCTGTAATTAAACTGGCTTCAGATCAGAACACAGCAGTTTACGAACAGCTATCTGGCAGCTCAGAGGTGGGCACCTCACCGTGTGGATTTCTAGCCAGAAAAGGACCTAAAACCGTTTCATAGCTTAGTCGAACGTGGCGGTTTTCACTAATCAGCCCAAGTTGATGTAGGCCTACGTTCAGTTATGAGCTCTAAAAAGTTGATTATGGGTGCGTTGAATTATAATGTTATTTTGACTAGCATTTAGTGTTTTTATCATATCAAATATAACTAGGAACCTAAATAAAATCTTATGTACTTCTCTCAGATAAGCATAGGCTTTTTCCTAGTTAAGCTATTGCATGGCTTTTATCGCGGACTTGAGCGCGGCGACCGAATCAAGAAATTCCGTAACGAAAATAAACCGAAGACCCGAAAACCTAACATCGTCTTTCAGTTCGGCAAACTTCGGTACGGTGTTTGTGTACGTGCTACTAGACGTATGCGTGTAGACTAGCTGCATGTATTGTAAGATAATAAAAATATTTTAAACAATTATATAGACTATACTGCAAGAAGCATATTCTTTGGATTTATATGAGTCGTCCTCATGCTAGCAAATTTCGTGAATTTAGAGTATTTAATAAACACAGACTTTATAGAAAATTATCGTTTGTCGGAAGAACTCGTTAATTACCATAAACCTATAGTTTCAATGATAAAAATTCCTGAGTAACCTACTTCTATTGTAAGATAATAAAAATATTTTAAGCAATATTAACTTCTCATTTATTCAATAAAAGAAAAAAAGATTGTTTTCTTATCGGTCACCACGCTCAAAAAGTGTAACTTGAATTAATATCAAAGTAAAAACTTGAACTAATATCAAAGAAAAAACAAAGAAAAAAAACTGCATAAATAAAATAAATAAATGATTATAATTGCATAAGTTGATAAAAATGCTATGCAATAGCTTTACTGCGGCAGTCCCCAAGTGCCACACGTATTTTATTTTGGGTAATAACTGTGTAATAATATTATTTCTTTCTCCGTCTGTCATAATATACAGTTCCTTTTTATTTATTTAACAACTATCTTAGAATATTTAAATAAATATTTTACAGTATAAACATAAGTTATACAGCTTTAGCGTATACCGATTAGCCATCAACACTTTACGTAACACTTCTTTAGATATAACTCTGTCCCATAGTACCAGAAGTCTCAAGTACCAATAGGAAACCCGAATGAATGAAAAATAAAAAAATCGAGATGATGTTATGAAGTACGGCAATACGCATGAGGCAGCGCGAAGTATTAACAACTACTGCTCTACTACTCCTTCCTAACTGGAATTTACTTTAATGACTAAAACAGCCATGTAACAAGTTACAGCCTATATAGGACCCACTGCTGGGCACAAGCCCCCTCTCTTTTCTGAGATGGTTTTAGGGAAAAGGAATGTCCCAGTGTGTGTTGGCAAACTTCACATGTTTCTCTTCAAAATATTTTTTTCTTATTTCTCAGACATGTAATAATTGATGTAGTAAACATGAAATAAACATTAATGGCATGTAGTAACATGATACATTAGGCGTGTTATGTGGGTAGTAAACATGAATTTAATGGATGTAGTAAACATGATTTTTGTTAAATAACAAGAAGGATGATAACAAGCACAGAATCGACCTGATAGTAAAAAGATGCTGTGACACACCTACAGCTATCTTCGATTTAGAATGAAAACGGAGAAGTTGTCACCCCCGAGGACTAAGATACCTCGTACCCGGCAGAAAGAGTCACCGGTTTCCTTTCACTTACCGTACGTAACACAGCAGCATTAAATTGCTCTTTTATGCTAGTGTTCTCCGAGCGTGGTTTTTCCTCAGTCGAGCTGAATTATTTGTGGTTCAAACCTAATATTGTTGTAGCATGAGTCGTATAAAAACTAGATTATATATAAAAATATATTTACCAAAAATTGTCATGGGGCGCGTTTTTTCACCCTCGGCTAGAAACGTTGATACAACACACATATAATTTCCAGTAAGTTCTGTCCCAGGTTGTAATATCCGCAAAGCTCTGCGTTGAGTATAAGGGTTGTGTGATACTTTATATGATAAATCCAACTGGAATTAGGAAAAGGGAAAATTGTAGCATTTTATAATTATGAAGAAATTAGTACATAATAAGAACTACGTTACTCTTTTCGCACTGTTTTCAATTATGATGTGAAGTCGTTTTACTACATTTCTTAAGCTAAAAACTGACAGACATCCAGACTCGGAATAATTGTTAGTAGGCAAAATATACACTTGTTCTGTGCGGGATTGAAGCTTATGGCGCAACAGCCAAGCATTGGGCACTGCACTATTGAGCCAAGTAAATGCACAAAGTATTACGGTGGTTTTGTCATATAATATTTTTGGGGATTTTTTTTCAACTTGTAATATATCCCACGAATGGTGGTATATCGAAATATCCATCTTACAATTCATCCCTAAAATTATTTTACGTAACTTTACATCTTAACTATATTATAGTACACAATAAATGATTCATATTCATTAATTTATTAATTGCAGCCCATTTTTTGTTCACTTGTGATTTTTTGCTTTCACTACTGAACATAGTCTATTCTCACTGGTATTTGTAATGCTTTCCATGCTTAACAGGCTGATGGGGAAACGCAGTTTTATTATATTATTATAGTCTATTAAAATGCTACTGTCCATCTCCTGCTTCAGTTTCCTTTCGTCGATTCTTTACACGTTCAGAGTTGATATCTTCTTTTTTTATGAAATTGAAGTGACAAGCGAATATACAGTCCACCTGATGGTAAGCGACTACTGAAACCCAAAGGAACCTGTAATCAACTTCAAACAAAGAAGGCTACAGGTGCGGTATCAGTTCTGATGAGTATGGTGAAATGTCTTACAGCCTGTAATGTCTTAGCTTTCGACACCCCTCAGACCAAAACACAGCAGTGCAAGCTCTGATGTTAGGCGTTAAATTTAATAATAAAACTAACTTTATTTTTTAATAAACCTAAAGCTTGAGGTTTCTGTGGAGGTATCCATTGATACACAGGCTGCGATCGGTCCATGTAAAGCCACTTTACTACTAATCGTGTTACGTTGTTGCTACGTAATCACAGCATCATTGCGTCTCTAGTTCCGTATTGAATGACTTCATTGGTACTCGTATGTTGACGATGCGAACGGATCGTGCACCTGTAAGCAAACACCCAATTGATAAAAAGCGGAATGGAACTTCATTTTTTAAATTTATATTTTTCTCAAAATTAAATTTAAAAACATAATGTGTTGGTGTAGAAAAAAATTTCACAGCATGGACTCCGTAGTAATTTATTTATAAAATTTATATTTACATTGTCAAAAGTTCGTAGGAATTGCGAATAAAACTCAACGCGCCACCTAACCGTCAGATTTACGTCTATTGGGTCAGCTGGTATTTGGTAATCCGAAATTTACCAAAATTTTAGTTGGTTCCTAGACCCGCTAACGTTCTATGACACGCGTATGTTGGAATAGAAGAGTTATTGCAAGGTCTATACAAGTACATCAACTGTCATTACAGTTATTACTTGTATAGACATATTTATTTATGTGATATGAAGAAGTTAATGATCAGTATAAAATTTTGACGGTATTTGTGTCACGTGCCCAGGACTTCGGTGTTTCTATCTCGTATGTGTATTAAAATTCTAGTTAATTTTTGGATAGAGACTAAACCCATTGCGTAATATTCCAAATTGTTGCTATTGCTGACTTTTTTGTCGTAAAGAAAGAGATAGGGTATGATAGATGCGAAAAAGAAGCCTTTAGTATAATTATTCTACCACATGTATTTTTGGAAAGGGGCATGATAGAAAGATAAAATTTGAAAAGAAATTTATATGATTAATGTTGTGCGCATATCTGAAGATATATCTTATAATAATAAGTTGTCAAAAGTGAATTTCGGAAAATAAATCAAAATTTCAGTAAAATTTTCTGTGCTGTTCAATATTATGGTTTCCTTAAATGAGTAATATGCAAGGAATTCTCATTTTACAAGAAATATTCTGGCAAGAAATTGAAGGTGGATATACCCTGCAGGGCACATTAGGTGCTTTCTAGCTCGGAAATGTTATTATTATTGAATGAGCCAGCTGGAATATTGTTTCGCGGTTTTGTATCGGTTCTGAACTCCTTTATATTTTAGATTTTTTCATCGTGTTTCAATTGGAATGCAATAAAAGACATAGAGATTAAGACAAAAGATCTTAGAATTTTTATAAAAAAAATCTCAAACTATTTACGTATTTGGTGACAATTACAATATGTACAATGTGTATGTTTCTGTTTAAATTAAAACAACAATGTCTATAAATTATTCAGCATTATTAAGGAGCGTTAAACTAATAGGCTCCCATAACTTTTCTTCTATTAATTTTACATACTATCGTATGCGGTAGACAAAAATATTTCAGAAAGTAAAAAGTTAAAAAAGTTTCCTTATTAACGCGGACACTACACATTGAACTAAACTAATTTTAAACATTTTGTCGCGTTTAATTTTGACTTTTTATTTTCCGAAGTTTCGGCTGCTTTACGGTACCCACAGTCACTGTGGTAGCTGTAAAGACCCGAAACGTCAGGAGATGAAAATTCAAAATAAAACGCGATAAAATCAGTTTCATTTAATGTGTGTAAATGTAAGAAGTTAATTTGTGATTCAGTAAGGACTGGTAACAGCAAATAAAAATCGCCTATTATAAGATCTCAAAACTAAGCGCACAAGATATATAACATTTGATGACAAATGATGCAGAAACCATAATCTCATTCCTACGTGGGTCAAAATGTCAACAAAAAAGAACATTCAAATCTTAAATCAAGCAAGTAAAAAGTTGTTACGAACAGTGATTTATTAAAAACGGTTCGATCTACAATTCATAAATAATACCATATAATTTTTTTCCAGTGAAGTGAGAATAGTTTCAACGATATTATATTTTATATAAGTGCTTAAGTGAGCAAACGCGAAACATCTAAATATAATGAATGCAAAAATGCATAAATAAAAAATAACAATAATTAACGATCAAATCAAATGCCAAACATCAATGTCAATGTAGAATCTGAACGTAGTCAGAGAAACCTATAGACTAATGATTAGCGTGGCCTCGAGTGAGAAAGGACGATAACGTAGTTCTAGGTTATACAATATATATGTACATCTTTATGACTTTTAAACATATTTAGATAAAAATTTTAATTGTTCTAAGAACTGAACTGAACAAGATTTACCAATCTTAAGCTCACAAAACACTTTTTTCTCACTTAAACCAACTTGTAAACTCCTTAGATCGCTACGAACTGTGAGTTGTTTAGCAAAGTGTAGTTTGCTAAACAAACCAACCGGCACGAAGAAAGGGACAAACAATCACACCGCTCTGTCTTTTTTCTACGCAAGACGTATGCATAAATCTATATTTTTCGTGTGCGAATGCGAAAGAAGGCGTCAATTTGTCTATAGGTTTCTCTGTCTACGAATCTGAACATAACTGTTGATCACAGACACGATCTATAAACAAGGCACGGTCTATAATCTATTAGAACATACACTGAACGAATCGACAATAAAGGAAGGAATAGAAAGGCATGAATTTCACACTAACACCGCGAAGAATCCCGTACGATAAAATTATCTGTATTTCAACACTAATTATTGTCTGCTTAAGTATAATATCGGTTCTAAGCACTAAAGCGCCCAAAACTTCGGGAAATAAAAAGTCAAAATTAAACGCGCAAAATCCGTAAAATTAGTTTCATTTAATTTCAGAAAGAATTTAAAATATTATTACTTTATATGTATGCTATGTACTAAACTACACAGTATCCATATCTGAGCGGCGATATATGTTGGTGTACAAATTAATTATTTGTTTAAGGATCCTTAACCTTTCTGAGAGAGTTTGTCATAACTGCCAAGCTTAGCAGGTGGATTACCGATTGAAGTATCAGGCTTTCACGCTGCTTCTTTGTGCCAGTTTGGACACATGCGTCATATTAATATATTGATGGCGGCTATCAAGGTTGATGTTTATTTAATTAAGGCATGTTTAAAGATCTTTTTTTTCATTACAGTCTATCAAAAGTCCACTGATAGATCGCCCCAAAAATCACCTCATAGGGAGGATAAACGTGAAAAAGAGCATGTTCCCGATAACAGTACATAGTTATAAGAAATGGCGGTTGCCAAACCGCTTGCTAAACGTGAAAATTATTACAAAATCCCCCCCCCCCAAACCTACGGAAGGGAGCTTTTAATTGACTGAAATAAATGAAAGAAACATTTGTGTATCACTAGAAGTAATTTAGAATTCCTAAATTGTATTTACTGGAAAAAGGCTCTACAATACCAGTAAGTTATCACGATCGTTAAAGATCGTTTATTACTAATATATTTATTGTAACCATATTATTAATAACTCATAAATTACAAGCCATTTTAAAGGATGAGGAAATTGCGTAAATTTCTTGAGCTGGTAGTGATTATATCCTGGAAATTTAATATTTCGAGATGAAAGCAGAATTATAAGAGCTTACACAAACTATTCCACCTAATTATTTTAAGAAAATTTATAACTCTACTAGCGTCCTCTGTAATCATATCACGATTTATCAAGACGCGAAAAGTAATAATTTTCAGACCCGAAAATTAATATTTAAGGGTACACTAGTCGCTTATTCTTCCATACAAACATAGTCCGGCAATTACTCCACTGTTTGATGGTGTACGTTCAAAATAAAAAATTATTTCAATTTGTCTCATCATTATCTAGCTCTGTATGGAAACAAAAAAGTAAAAAAAGAGTATGTTTAAAAGTTATAAGCGTCGAAAATTCCAAATTTCAACACTATTTTTAACACATCTTTGGGCGGATCTTTTGGCGGAAATAAATACCATAAGAAGAACGAAAATTGCAAAACAGTTACCATACAGAGATAGATTAGTTGTTCAAAAATGCAAATAATTTTATTTTAAACAGATACATTCAATAGATTTTTCGTGACATCCAGACTACCAAAGGTCTGTTTATAAAATTTCGCGCGCCCGT